TTCCTTGACCAGCAGACAGCGTCAAATTGCACTTGTGGGAGCGAAGAGTCCAAATTGAATGTGAGACAAGGAAGCAACCCCTCTGTCCCCAAAGTCACACAAGTTGACAGCAGACACCATAAAGCTGCCAAGCAACGGATGCTTGCCAGTCCAACGTCTGCTCTTCTCTCTAGGGCCATGAAGAGAGGCGTACAACATACTTACAGAAGACCCAACATACTATAAACATCTGAGAGTGCTCAGTATCACCAAAGTAAAAATCCAAGCTCTTTCAGATCTTGGATGCATCAGGTTCAGGGTGGGACTGCAAAATTGTGTCTTAGAGGCAGGCATGCCTTTGGACAGGAGAGAGAAACTCCTGCAGCTGCACGTCACAAAATCTCAGGGAGCTCTCCTGCTCCACTGCTGCAAAGGCAAGTTCACTCTTGAGAAGACCTGCAGAGAGTGTCTTCCTCGGCGTTAGCAGGACGCAGCGAGGAACAGGCCCATCAGGCATGGCTCCATGATTAACTAATCAAACCAGTAGAAACAGGTTTCAGTAGGACGTTCATTGTACGCCAGTTCTAACACCCGAGAAGGGACTTCTGACTCATTCCCACCCAGCGTCCTACCGGGGGAAGGTTCATCTTAGGAGGTTTTATCTTTCTTTGTTTAAAAGACATTAAGAAAGCTATCAGCACACTTAGGTAAGCAACCAGACAGGGCACCAGCAATTACTCTGTATTAGCAATCGCACACCTTCACTATGTGGTGGGGAGGCGTGAGTTCACATGAAGAGTATTTCCAACACCCCGGATGTGTTAGAGCGTGGCACGCCCTGGAATAGGGTGTTACTTTCTAATGTCTTCATGAAAGTATTTTCTTAATTAGTTGCCCTCTATGAGAACACAGATGGCAGCAGTGACACAACATGTATTCATGTGCCACCCAGCATCCCAAGAAGCTACATCTCACAGTCTGTTATGAGCTAAAATAGAGCTTTCAGATTACTTTTTTTTTTTTTTTTTTTAAAAATCATCTCAAAGGAATGGCTTTGCTGTCAGAATGGAAAAAACCCCCTCAAACAGACAGGAGAGCAAATGAACCATCCGTTGCAACAACAGAGATAAGGCCCTAAAAAACAACGGTAAAGGTCCTGTTCTGCTTTGATTAAATGTGGGAGTGAGTATTTTGGGCAAAATAACCTAGATGCTGCCAACCCATCCCAAAGCACTTTTTTTTTATTGCATACACTCACCAATACTAGCACAGCCTTTGAAAGAAAAGACTGCACTGTGTAGGTGGGAGCACGCACACACACGTGGGTCTCTCCACAGCGCTCTGTGCCACTTTTCCCACAGAGCAAGTTTTGAGCAACCACATCCAACTCCATCAACTTTCATATCAGTAATCTGCACACGTACAGCACTGTGGCCACGTAGCACAGGCAGTTACAACAGACTGAACCTGGGCCGTTCATAGTCAGAGCAGAAGACCTCTGCAGCTTGAGCTGACGAATCCTCAAAACCGCTTTTGATAGCTGTGACCTATAGAGCCCTGGAAGGTAACACAAGAAGGGTCAGACACCACTCAAGCTCCACAGCATTCAAGCCTCCAGACAGTGTCTCCAGTGCCTTGCAGTTATCACAGAATACGTGTGAATGTCTCAAACATCAGCACCCCTGGGACACACCTTCCCGCACAGGTACCTCTGCAGAGCAATGAGAAGTGCTCCTCTCAGCAAGCAGCAGCACAGTGAAAGCTAATTCTGTAAGCTGCCAGCATGCCCTGTGTCTTCCAAATTCAGACGATAAAACAGTATTTTCCAGAGGCTACTAAGGGAGACATTTATCAAGGTAAAGATTACAGTGCTGCCGAAGCCAAAACTAGCAGCTGGAGGGTACGGATTATACACACTCGCTTTTAGAGCAGACATTTAGTATTAAGGATATTGTAGTAGCAGGAACAATATAAAACTAGTTTAGGTAGAGCACTGGTAAGACCCTCCTGCAAGCATCAAGTGTGAACTGTGTACCTGAGGAAAGCAAAGGACACCACAGCCATGTCCATCTGTTGTGATGGTTTACCCTGGACTCTTGTCAAGTCCACGCTCTCACGCCAAGACAGGGCACTATCAGGACAGTAATTGTGATCGGCTCTCCATTCTGTATGCACGTGAAGACGTCTTTTGTTTAGAAGCCAGAAACACATTAGCCATTTGGTTTTAATTACATGAAAATTGAATTCGATGCTACATTAACTTTAACTTTTACTCTATAGAAAAGCAGACTGGAAAAAGTATTCAAGAGGGATTGGTTAGACTAACAGCTGTCATATATGACTGTTCTTTGACAGCAACCGCAAAATTTAACCATGTCAGCCATCCCCAACAGAAACAACCAGAGCAGCAGTTTCCCAGTAGGGAACAGACCATCGGCAGAACTGTGGAACTCAGGTTCTGCTACTGAGATATCACTTAAATGCAAAATACAGCATTTTCCTTCTTTAATAAGGCTTTATTGTATTTAGGTTTAGTAAGTGTATCAAAACCTGATTTAGCAAGTAGCAAAATAAGATTTACTTTATACTCTTATTTATATATGTGAGTGATGACTTTGTGGTACTTAAACCCATAATCTCAGGAGAATAACAGTAGTTTCAACTTCCCTTTCTGCTCAACTGTTGCAACCAAAATCATGCTGCAATTTGCTACATTAGAGTTCTGCTAGGGGTTGGGAAAAAAAAAAGTTATTCCAATAAAGCCAAAACAAACCTAGAAAGTAATTTTAATGAACTCTTCTATTCCACCTCTAAGGCTTATTCTGGTAGGCAGTACATCTTACTTGACAGAAGTTTAAAGTTAAAGCATGCAAAAAAGTCAGTCCTATAATCCAAAATTTATACAGCAATAGTTTCCAAACGGCAGCAGCATGTCCTCCTCAGAAAGGTAATGATTCTGGAGTGCTCCCACCTCCCAGCCTTCCCAGAGCTCACTCCAGAGCCAGCAGCATAACTGCGTCAGGTCGGCACCCAGCCCAGCAAGCCTCCCTAGACACCTACGTTAAACTTTGCCCCTTTAGTGAGGGGTTCTGGATCCCAAAAGCAGTAAACGCGAGGCACTGCACAAAGCAGCACTGACAGCGCACTCAGTGTTAGCTTACAGATCTCTGTATGGCACTCCACAGCAGCATAAATTAATCTGTAGGGTATGGAAGACATCTCTAAATGCATTTAAATGTCAGCACCCAAGCACCAGATTGCAGCGTTTTGCTAACTAAACCTCCACATGCTGAGACTCGTTTCTCCTTTCTTGTAGGCAAGCCCATCAGACACGCTCTGGTGCCGCAAGTTAGCGCTGACGATTTTCGTGAAGTTCCTTTGGCAGCATCGGAGCCCATCACACATTCCGTCAGTGCCCTCGCTACACGGCAGTTTCTGAACTTTCATGTATTTTCACCTCATTAACAAGGGGTTTATGGCAGGGAACTTTCTGGAGATTGTTTGACAGCAAAACGTATTCTGCCAGCTAAACACACTTTTCCTGCACTAACGCAAGCCAGGAAGAAAAGCACATTGATACTTTTACAGTATCTTCGGGGACAGATTTTGATTTTGCTGGTATCTCTGTAAATTTAAGCTACGAATGAATGGAAGCATGAAGACTCAGGTAACCCCACGTAACAGATCTTTGTTACTTTCTTTAAAAGTTTAGATCCAAGCTTTAGTACACCCCCTAAGATCCAATCTTCTTTCATGCCTATAACCATTCTATTTTCTGTTCTCCTTCTTCCAGGAATCAGTGAGGATTTTAAAATGCAGCACTCAGTTTGAAGGAAGTGAAGTGTTTATCTGGCCACTGCACTGAAGCTTATGCAGCCAAGAGGTGTTTAAAAAAAAAAAAAAAAAAAATCAATGTTACAAAGCACAAGCACTAGAAACTGTTTATACTAAGAAAGTTAAATTCAGAGTTTTAAAGCCATGTATATTGTAACACTATATGCCATCAGACTAAAGCTTTTACAGGCATCTTAAACTTAACCCTCCAGAAGTGAACTCAAAGGCAAAACAGTACGTAAGAAGGCAACTGGGATAATTCTCATCACTGAAACCGGGTGCATCACTGCAGTTGCAGCACTGGTGCAATTGAAATAAAATGTTTCAGTCCAGTCTTTTACAACTCAGCACACCTTCACTGCACCAGCATTTTAAAGGAGACCATAAGAGCACTGAGTAGATTACGCAGTTGACAACTGGCTATATAAAAGACCAACTAAAACACTAAGCCCACATCTTTGCTTTATAGCCATGGCTCTTTCAGTTCACACTTTCCAACTTTTTAAATTTTTGTATCTACTGCAGTAAGATAAGTACTTCCCACTCATATAGTATATCGTTCTATTCAGCTTGTGAATAAGGACATTAAGCAGTAGGAAGCAGTATTAAAAATAATTTCCTAGGAAAGGAAAAATAATTTGAAATCATAAAATAAATATGGATTAGCTGCATCATATCTACTTGGAACAACAGTATTACTGCATCATTCAAAAAGGCAGACAGTGACAAGGAACTACTGAGGAACATTAGCGTAAAACTGCAGTATTATTACGAAGGGTCCCTGACTTTTAACATGGAAATATTAAAAAAAACCCTGCAGCTTGAGTATGCAATGGAGTGTAAAACCCGTTCCACTTTTGACTGAACATTTCAAAGCATTTTCAAACTTTCACACTTTTGTCACCACATTCACAGATGAGAAGTGCTGGCAATTTATTATACTCAAATTGAAACCAATTCTTCTGTGTAGCTACATGTTCTGTCAATGTGCTGCCCAATGAAATACGTCTATCCAGCAGCCCTGGGAGGAAGCCAATATCTCCTGCACTCTGTAGCATTATTAAAAAGTTAAGTCATAGACACCAGCATCAGAGGCTTAGCTTCACTCTGTCAAATAAAGCGATCAGTGTAAGCAGCAGGCAATTCATTCCCTTTGAATTTGTATTTCAGGTCAACAATAGCTTTACCTGCATAATGTACAGGGATTTCTATCTTTGGCCCTATGACGTAGTGACCCTCCTCCAGACTGTGAGCTGTAATTGTTGTCCACTGCCGACACGAATGAATCAGAAGATAATCGCTCTCTCGAAGGCCTTCTACAGTTTCTCCTGCAAAACAGATGTAGGGTTTTTTTTTTAAAAAAAAAAAAAAATCAAAATCATACTTACTGCATAAAGTATTAGGAAAACTTCACAACAAGCACTTAATTCTTATTGCTGTTTATTCTTTCAGACATTTTGATATTCAAAAATCCAATTAAGTAAATTTCACTTCTACACAGTATTCATTTTTGCAACATAAGCACTTTACCTTACAGAAAACAAGCAAAAAGCAAAAAAACTCAGTGAATGAATACAATACCAGAGAGACATAATCCAGATTACTCAGCAGTGGCTCTGGGGCTCCTTTTTCAGCTTTCTGCATAAACAGACTTTTCATATCTCTATTTATGTCTGCCTATCTCACTTAATACAAATACTTGAGACTTCTTTTAATTTTTAAATAAAGGAAAAAAGGGCACAGTTTTCATATGTTAAAAGATCAGCATCACCCTATGCTACAGCTACCTGAAGCCAAATCTTGTTCGTTGCTATGAAGTGATTGTGTATCACACTTGCAGGTACAGAAATTTCAGCTTTGTCATTCTATCACTTTGCAAGTCACTGCTTAAGTACCCATTCCTATAGCTGTAAACTTAATCCTGCCACTTAATGGGGGGGGAAAGCAACATATCCCAAAGTCCCCTCTCAGAGATTAATTCAACCAGAGCCCCCCCAGATAGTGTCCAGTTCATCTTTGTAATGCGCCCTCTCGTACTCTGGTGTCTGTCAAATCCATCCCAAACACAGCCAGAGATCCAGCTGTCCTTTATTCTCCAGTCTCCACCAAATCCTCTGCATTTCTGCCAAGTTCTCTTCCCTCCTCCACCAGCTGCCGGGCCTGATCAGGACTCGAATGCGTCGCTTGGCTTTCCAGCAATTGCAAAAGCCACATTAAACAGTACATCTCAAGCATGATACATGAACAAAATTTCACAGAGTGGGACATACCACGGCAGATTGCTCTCAGGAATCTGCGGTCCTGCTCAGTACACTTCTGTATTAAACACACAGAAAACAGCCTTTCTCAAGGTGTCTTTAAAGCAGCTGCAGGAACACTTCACAGACTCTAAGTACAGGCCAAGAATAACGAAGCTTTACATTTCATTTTCCTTCTCTCCCACCAGCCCTCTGCAGTTACAGCCAAAAATAAAGCAAGTAGTTTAGCCCTGGAATCAAGTTTGGACAAAACCCATCCCCTTCAGCTACTACAACACACTGCACTTTCTCTTCACTGTCCTCTGATATTCTTAAAAGTCAGTGGAAGAACGAGACTTCCCTCAGCCTGTGGCAGCAGACATTTCCCCTGCTCAGTCTCTGCAGAGGAAAGATACTTCCCACTGAGCTTTGGTGTTTTTGCCCACACCAGGCAATCTTTTCCACCATGGGCAATGGCTACCACACACCCCATTCCTGCCTGATTTCATGCTCCCATTCTATCAGAAAGCACCCTCCTACACGAATCAAAATGCAGCAACTGGTGTGTGTGAGAATTGTTAGATTTTAAATCAGAAGAGAGCATTACGACCATCTGCTCCAACACTCTCCGGCCACAGGATCTGGCTCATTTCCTCCAGACTTGGATTTGGCTAAACTAGGGAGAGACCCTCTCAACCTGCCTGCAGAGTCTGAGAGATGGACTTCCCCGGGTCTGCTGTCCCACGGCCTGCTAAACCTTTAAAAAAAGTTCCCACTTTGCACATTTGGGGCTTTAATCTATAACTGTGGATACACTGCTGTTACGGGGGTGTAGAGGAACAACAACAAAAAAAACAAACAACCACGAAAAAAGAAAACCACCAAAAGGTATACAGAGCTCCTTAGTACCAGTTATTCTTGCTCCTATGAAGGTACCATTTCCAGCTTTCTTTCTTCTTCACAGCACAGAAAGTAGCCTCCAGGTAATGAGGACATTTCAAGAACTGGTTGCCAAGAGCTCCTTGGACCACGTCCCTTGCAGCCTGGCTGGGCTGCTTGACACCAGTTCCTGCTCCGTGGGAAGCACCAGCCCCTCCACCCACAGTGCGCTGGGAGAAGGGACCTCGTGAAGCACTCTTTGTTCACATCCAGGTCTTGAAGGAAATTCAGATATATTTGCTAGAGAAGTCACGCATCTGCTACATTTTACCAAATCATCTCACCTTGAGCATCTCCTGTTCTCTGCTCACAGGGCAATTCCTAATACGTATAAAAACTATCTCCAGCTTGCTGCAACAGAGGGTTACAATTTTGGGGTGAAGCATAATAATGATAATAATAATAATCTGTGGTGTTATTTGAAACTCATGTTTCAGTTCAGAGAGTTGCACTTATGCTTTCTATAATCCATGGCAATAAGTAATTATGCCATCCCACAGCAAAATAAAACCAATGACACCTAAGGGAACAGCTAGTATTTTACTAGTTTCACTAATAGTGGTAAACAAATTTTGAAGACAACACAAAGCATCTCTGGTATGCTTTTTCTCTGCTTTAATCAGTAGGTGTAATTTCGGAATGTTGCTAAAGGAAGGCTGGATTCTACACCCAGGATTGCAAGGCAATAATTACAGCATGGGTCATCCTCAAAGAGTCCGAGAAGGATATTCTCAGGAAAACAGACAGCCAGTATGAAAAGGTGCTTCCAGTCACAGCTCACATGCCGTAATCTGTTTAAGTGGTTACTCCCCTACAACTGGGGTGGGACAGGTGAGTGTAAAAAGAGATTACTAAGGCAGGCCCGAGAGTGACTACATAATTAAGTCTGCAGCTGGAAGTAGCTGTATTTTTGAAACAACCTTGGAAACCACAATTCTTGTTACACCAATTATTTGCTCCAACTGATTATATCGGAAATGAGTTCCATGCTTGGCCACGGGCCACTGAGCCAAGGAGGGAAGGTGGAGCAGATGCAATGGAGAGGTCACAGTCCCTCTAGTCCCCTCATGACAAGCAAGTCTGTCCTTACCAAGCCCTCATCTTTCCTAATGATGGGTGAGCCAGATTCCTGGGGTTGCTTTGTAGGAAGAGGCTCCTTGTCACCAACGGGATTAATGGACTCACAAAAACACCTGGGTAATGATGGCCTCCACTCTACGGGAGGAAGCACAAGGAGGAATCAAATGTGACAGGACAACAGAACATGGCGATAGATACTCTCTTCTTTGTTCCATTTTCCTCTAGCCTGTCACGCCCTGTAAGACTTGCACACTGCCTTTAAAGCAGTTCCATGCTGGAGAGCAGCACCTTTCAGGCAGGAGACACCTCTGACCCTGGCTACACGACTCAGCTCCCAGCCCGAGCACAGCCCTTCCTGCTTTTCTCAGCCAACCGTACCTTGCAAAACAGCCACACGCATCCAATCTGATTTTTTCCCCCTGTCTCAGTAACACAAGTTATGCAAGCCTTTCATTAATCACATTTTAACTATGTGGGAGAGAACTCGGCAGTCCTCACATCCACCAACTATGCAACTCGGTTCTCACCCATTCAACACACTCCTACACTGCTGCTTACACAAAAATCAGACGCCATGAGAAAGCAGAACGGAGGCCACTCATCTCTAGTAACAGTTTTGTTTCTTATGATCAAATATGGATTAGCTCTATCTTCTCACCCTCTCCTCCCCACCCCACATGCCTGCAATACAATTAAACCACTACAAAGAATCTACAGGCAAATACTTGCGCTCTTTTTTCCCCCCAAATAAAAACCAGAGAAGCAATGAATTATCGCATGCAATTCCCCACCCCTCCCCAAGCTGCCTACCTCTTTCCAAAATATGAGTCAAGTTTATTCATAACAATGCCCGAGACTAAGAAACCCATGATTCCCTAACAGTGCCTAAACCCCAAATGAAGCACCAACACCCATCCTTGTCTGACAGAAAAAGCCTCACACCTCTGAACTGAAAAGTCAGCCGGCATTTTCCTACACAAGCTGTCCTCCTATCAGCACTCTGACCACGACCGGTATTTGGGCTACTTCACCATGCATCACTGAAGCAGCACAGCAACAGCTATTCATGTGTTCACTGCGAATAAGATGTATTGCCATTTTTTAATTACATGATCCATTTCCATACAATTCCTAAAAACTACAAATATTGCAAAGCCCACCCCTGTTGAAGGGCAATTGCAGATGGAACGTTGGCCATGAAAGGAAAATTGTTCACATGTTGATACAGTTAAAAAAAAGGTAATTGCTTAATCAAGCGCCTCATGCTTTTTAAATACCACCTACATTAAATGCCAATACTTCTTTAATAATTCTTTCCAGTTCCAAAACTGGATAATCCACATTTGGCAAATCTTGGCTCTGTCACTGTAAACACTCCAATCTCAAATTAACAGTTAACAACTGTAGCACGACTGGGAGCAAGATACCTCGATATACAAGTTCAGAGATGAATTTCTGTTTTCACTTGCAGTTTTTAAGAACCAGGTGAGAAAACAGAGGTTTGCTACGCGCAGGGACCGAGTTTATATACGGCAATGCTGCAGCACAGAAGGAAGCTCATTTCTTCTGAAGCAAACACTGACCTCCTTGCAGGTTGTTGCCACCGCTTACTTTCTAAAGACACCCACTTTTCTTGAGTTTAGCATTTCACAATTTCCAGATGTCTGGGGTAAGGCCTCAGGAGTAGAACTGAAGACCACTCCAGTTTTAAGGGGCCGAGCACTCCTACCTCTTCTTATCTTCGTTCTGGATAAAGCTTGGCCCATTACAGTCCATAAAAGAAAATTCACACAGGTTCCACATATTCTGGTTTGCCAAAGACAGCAATGACTTTTCAACACCAACCACGAAAGAAAAATCATGAAACAAATGAAAAAAACCCACGATGACTTTTAAGGTTCTTCTCTGAGTACTGAGAAACTAACATTCAAGTCACTGCAAAATGTGCAGACCAATATGACTCATTCACTCGCAGAAACTACATTGCTAAAAATAAGCAACGATCTACAGGAATATAAACGCTTTATAATGCCACACACTTTGTCATCTTGGCGAAGAGTCTGCATCAATGC